AAAACGGTTAATTATATTTTTCTTTATGGAAATTTATAAATCAATATGAAATTAATAACTTACGTTTTATTATAATCTTGCGATAGGCAAATGTATGTATTTAAGGTAACAGCGTATTGAACCATCCAGGAGGGTTAAAAAATGAAACTATTTTCTGTAACAATAAGATGAAATCTATTACTCCATCTGAGGTCCACACGAAATCGTGCAATTTTATACAATCCATTTATCTCTACGTAAAATGATATTTACGCGAATCAAAATGGTATATTTCGTGTGATTCAGCCCGGTTAGCGATACGTACATCGCGAAGTTATGAATACCGGATGGCCACAAATCCAAACAATACTCTTCCGTTGTCCGGGGGCTCTACGACGGGAGGCTGTGAAATTTATTGCAAAGAGTCCCGTACCAGATAAAGAAACTTGCAGAGTTTAGTTCACGGTAGACCTTGGCAACGAGAGGAAAGCCCGCTGTATACCGTTTGAATATTTCATGCAGCAAAAAGAAAAAAGAACGGCCCCCGCGAGCAATTCTCCACGCGCCGAACGATAACTGTAGCCATTTCTGAAAACGTTCCGCGGGGCCACCGACAGTTTCGGTTGAAAGTTCGAGCCGACTCGTTATTATTATTCACGGGGAGCCCCGAAAACCGGTGCCTCCGACCGTTTCGCAATATTATCGTTCCCGTAAAAACGGCCCCCAACCGAATCTGCCTTATTTTCATCTGCTGGTAAACCTCGCGCCCATCCGCCGTTTGTCGACGCGCTCCTTTCGTCGGTCGCCATTTTTAGTCGCTAACGAGCTCTGCTTCTCCTCCCCGAACTTTGTTTGCGTATACCATTGTTTAGACGTGACAAACAATGTACCCTTCCATTCGAATAACTTTATGAATCCACGTCAGATTTTCTATTGTTACAGCAAATGCACCTACATGATGTCGAATTGAATTAACATTTTAATGAAGTTTAATATCTAAGCTACTTTCCTCTAGGTCGAAAGACGAGAAGAAAAGGGTCTCAATAGTATGGAGCAGATGGAAATTATGTTGGGTAGATTTTGTGTTAGTTATGGAATTTCTATTAGGTTCTCTTATTAATTTTGAGATAGAAAGTATCTCTGAAGAATAATCTTCAACGACCCAACGACCGTCGACGACCCTTAGACGACCAATCCAACGTCGACGACACTTCGACGATACAACGACCGTCAACGACCCTTAGAATACCCTTCGACGACCAATCGAAATCGACGACCCTTCGACGACCCAACGACCGTCGACAATCCAGACCCTTCAACGACCCACCCAAAATGACATGTCAAATCCACCCTGTGAAAGGGTCCCACATTTTCATTAACATCTTCCATATTGTCACCTAGCGATATGCAAATACATTCCACTGATCCGATTCTAATTCAGGCCCAATACATTTCCAAGAACAGTAATGCAACAGATTACTGAACAGTGCACGTGGATCAATTGAATTGTCATATCTGAAAGGAGGACCTAAGAGAGACTAAAACGAAAAACAATGAATTGTGAGCCAGGTTCGTGAACTTTAATCGAATCCCTCCACCGTCGAAAGTGGCGAAATCAATCTATTCCAGCCACGAGACACTATCCGAGCTACGTGCGAGGTATTACGGCCAGAGTTTCCTCGTCGTTCCAACGAATTGCTACCGTACGAGCTTTCGATTATATCTTGAAGTAATACTTGGCCCACGGGGGACACACTTGCTGTTTAGATAGAATCCCAGAGCAAATGGCCACACGATCCATCGGGTCGTTGACCTCTTCATTCGTCGATTCATTCTCCCTCTCATTCGTCTTCCGGTTTGAAAAGCCGCGTGAGAACCAAGGGTGGAAGTGATAGTCCCTCCTCCCTTGGAATTCTGCACTGGGGGATTACTCGTTCTGACCGATGACGGGGTGGCAATCAGCCACAGAAGGGATGGGAGAAGCGATACATAATGGCTGCAGCATTATGCGTCAGACGTTTTCCCCGACGAAAATTCAAAAACCCGAGATGATACTTCGTCTCCATTTCCGGTCGATTTGTTGCGCGAGGGATTCTTGCCCGACTGTCTGACTCGACGTTGGTTATATCCCGGTTTTTTTTTTTTAGGTCCGTAACAGTCATCTGGATTATTGAAATGGTGGGACGAGTTATGGTAACGAGATGCAGAGGAGAGAGCAAACTCTTGGGTCTCTGTTTCCGGTCAATTTGCTAAACGAAGACTGCATTAGCTTTCGTGATATTTGTATCAATTATTCATACGATACACAGGGTTATCATAGCCGCGAATAAAATGTCATTTATAGAAAATGTTGTTCCATGGATACTCATTTTTTTTTATAAATACCGTATTTAGGAGTAAGTTTGAACAAATTGTCTGATTGTTCCGACTTTTTAGCTCTGGAAATTGTTAAATTAAATTGATTTTTACGGGAAAAGGTATTTCACGTAAAAGGGCTTGCAGAAGAGCTGCAAAATTAAAAATGATTATTTTCTGACTTTGGGGCGAAATTACCCCTGAAAGCTGCCCCAACTTGAGGTACAGAAAAGTCCAGGTGGAATGCAATGAAACGGGTTATTAATTTTGAGGGTTTAATTAACGAACATAGACGACGCTCCTCTCAAATTCGTTCGAATCGACGTCACTTGACCTTTACGTTAATAAAACTAAGAGCTTCGTCGCCGAAACAATTTGTCTCCGTGGCGCTTTTTTGCGAACGCTACGAACGATAAGAACTCGAACACCCTATACGTCTTCCGGCAAATCCGTTCGTATATATCTTCTGTCGCCTTGCCGAAATCCCAAAATAGATGTCGCGGGGTATCGTAGAAGAAACGAAATTGTTATGAAGATCTCTTTAAAGGGTTAACACGAACCCACGATAACAGTAACAGATTAATAAAATAAAATACGATAATATCGACGAATATTAATCCAGAAATCAGATCGTATTGACTCAACGGTGAAAATTTCAATGACGTTTGACACTTGTGTTCAACAAATTCAATCCAATTCGACGTATCGTATCGAGATGTTCGGTACTTGGTATCAATTTTCGATACCGGTCCGATTATTTTCGATCGATATCAAACAGGTATCCAGTGTCAGTAATTGAATCGACACCGATTCTATTGATGATACTCAATCAATTCGATGTCAAAGTGCTCAATCGAAAATATCGATACGTATCGAAGTTGTGAGTACTTGTATCAATTATTGATAGAGATTCTTCTTAAATTGATACCAAACCGATACAGTAACGAATGAAAACTCGTATGATACCTCACAAAAGTGTATCGATACCTATTAATATCTACACGAAAGGTATCGATATTTTCGTGTAGGTATCAAACAAGTAACGATTCTTTCGTATATGTATCGAAGATGTATTAATTCCCCTGATGCCTACGTCTGCATGTATCAATACCGGATCGAAATTAGTAGAATGGTATCGATAGTATCGATACGGTACCAGTCTCATCACTATTCATTATATTCGATAGTATCCGGCCCGGTATCATAATTTTCAGGCCAGAATCAATACTATTGATTCAGTATCATTCCGATCACTACTCATGGATACTCTAGCTTCCAGGAAGCCTCATTCCAGCGTTTCAATACACAATTCATGCGTTTCATACGCGTCTGCGATCCCTTCCGTTCGATCCCAGGCCATATTTCACGCTCGCGAGTTCGCAATCAGAATTAAACGCTTCACGGCCCGAAGCTTTCCCTCAATTACAGGTGAATCACGTGTATGATCGATAACGATCCTATGTTGTATCGTGCCCGTCAACGTTACCGACGATTATTCCCGTTCCGATCGATCGTGTCGCCGTTAAGAAAGCAACATGATGAATCGTTCGTATACCAGGAACGTACCGTAGACGTTTGGGATCGACGCTCCTCAAACGGTTACGATCGATATCGTTCGTGTCGTCATCGGTCTTCTCTTCGAGCTACGCGGTCTCCACGATGGATCAATCCTCGATGGGGCATCGTATTAATAACGTCGATGTTACTGAATAGAAGTTGACTCTCGAACGAGGTTAAAACCGTTTTTAATTACACCGATAGGCGATTAGCAGCGGTCGAGTCATTTAATTAGTTTTCACCGTTCCTCGCGATCGAAGGCACGGACGTCGAGTGGGCTCATCGATCAACAGGCTCGGGGAATGCCTTCAATCGCGAGGAGTTGCGGCCCGCTTGTAGAGACAAAGGGGATAGTCGAAGGACAAAAGGAAACGGTTATTAATCTTTTCGATCGGTTGGACGGTAACGAATGCAGCTTCGACGGGTTCCTGCTCCGGTATCGGAGTGATTCCGGGTTCGATTGATTTATTACTGGACGAGGACTATTGAATTTTAACGAGCTTACTGTAATTAAGCTAAGGGCTTCTTTCGGAGCGATTAAATGTTTGGTAGACAATGAGGGATTACGGGGATTCGTTACCGGGTGCCATTGAATAGTTTTTTGCGAGTCTGAAACGAGTTACGTGATAAGACAAATGGGGAATATTGGACAGGGAAGTAATAAACTTAGGATTATTTTTCACTGAAGGGTTGAGTTCACGGGAGAAATGTTTTTTTCTAAATAATAAAATTAAAAAACGTGACATACACATTCTTATTGCCGTTTCCTTATTCCAGGTTTCCCATTGAGTACTCTGATCAGTTAGACGAAAACTTACTTTCTCCTCTTCTTAACCCTCATCCGACACATTTTTTTAAGAAATGACGTTATTCTGCCATGTCCAGGTAAATTTAGCCGAGGCTCCATGACATTTATTTTAAAGAACTTTGCAAATTTAACTATTTATCCCTTTATTATATTAATTTTTTACCACCACGCCAATTTAACACCGAGGAACAAATTGAATTGAGAAAATGAGGGACAGATGAGGGTTAATAATGAAAAATTTTCGAGACTGTTAAATTTGTGCTTGTTTTAAGGTATTTAAAGGATATCTTTTTCTTTTCAGGATGGTTAGGTGCCATGTCAACGGGAGTCGCCCTGCTAGTTTCCCCTGTAACGATAGCATTTTGTCGAAGAAAGAGCACAAGACTCACAGCTGTTCTGGGAGGTCTCGTAACAGCACTTGGTTGTCTCTTCACCTCGTTCGCTTCGCAATTTCATCAGCTGTTCTTCAGCTACGGCACTGTTGTTGGTAAGTCCTTATCGAACTGTAATTGCAGATCTGAAACGATTCTAAAAGAGTGAAGCAATTTATAAAGAATCGAGTGAACCTATTTTAACAATAACTTACCACATAACAAATATCATTTGACGAAGAATACAAGACTCTCACAATTTTGCAAAGTTTTTCGAATTCCATAATTTTAAATAGTAATAAAGTTCTTGAAGTCCAATTTTCCAAAATTTTTCGAAGTCCATAATTTTAATTAGTAATTAAATTCTCAATTCTTATATTTGCCCTTTTTCGATCTATATGCAGTGGGAATAAAGACAATTCCGGTTTTACCAGTTTCCTCAAGTCAGCCTTGAGAACCTCATAAGATCATTTTGACAGCAAGACATGATAGGATTAGGATAATGGGAGATATAAAACTGGATTTTAATTATTTAACACAGGTATAGGAGTTGGTATGACAAGGGATTGCAGCACCTTGATGGTAGCGCAGTATTTCAAGAGAAGAAGGGAGCTGGTCGAGATCTTCATAGTGTCCGGAAGTGGCCTTGGTATTGCTGTAATGTCGGCTTTTATAAAAGGAGCGATTAGGTACTATATATATTTTTGAAACATTAATTAAACACCAGATGGACTTTCATCTTTTAAATTAAGTGATGGTTAAAATAGAAGATAACGAAGTTACCGTTAATATCGTAATACAGGCTGGATAATAAATGGATGATTATAAAATATACAGGGTGAGTCAGTAAGAACTACTATTTTAAATAACTCATTACCTATTAGTTGTATCAAAAAAGTTTTAATGATATATGTAACATTTTAAGGGACGTATCGAATGGATACAATTTGATTTCATTATACCTTATTTCTTTTTTTAGATATCTAGGTGGCCTTAACTTTTCTCTAAAAAAACAAAGCATTAAGCTTGAAAAAACTCAAGGTCACCTTGATATCTCAACAAAAATAAGAAATAAAAAAATGAAACTGTATCCATTCTTAAAATGCTTCATAATAAATTAAAACGTTTTTTGATGCAACCAATAAATGAAGAATTATTTTAGATAGTAGAACCTTAAAATGTTTCATAATAAATTAAAACGTTTTTTGATGCAACCAATAGATGAAGAATTATTTTAGATAGTAGATCTCACTGACTCACCATGTAAATCTATACTTCTTATAAATACATTCTACGGACATAAGTTTTTAAGTATCATTTATGATTAATCATCATTCAGTTTCTGATAAAGCGATAAAGAATATGTGTCTCGTTTTTAGTATCATTTCTTATTATTTAGAATATGTATCTTCTTTTCAGTAAAATTGGGTGGCGTTTGGGTCTCCAGGCGGTGACCGGTGTAGTTTTCCTCACTTTCATTCTGGGTACATTTTACCGAAGCGCGTCTCTCTATCATCCGCAACGCAGAGCGATCCTACATCTGAAAAATCAGAAACGCAAGATCAAGGACAAGAACAAGACCGACGACAGACCGCCGTTCTTCGACTTCAGCACCCTTAAGAGCAAAACCGTGAGGATACTGTTGGTTTCCACCGGAATATCCGCTTTTGGAATCAACACTCCGATATTTTATTTGGTAAAAACCACAATAATAAACCCTAAATTCACTGAATTGTCTAAAAATGATCAAAAATCTTCGAAGAACTTTTAGTTCAACTTGAAAAGTAATACAGCTTCTTCAGAATGAAGAGAAAATTTCAGAGTTTAAGACTCTCTGCTTGAGACAGATTTTAATTCATTCTTAACCCTCTTCACTATTTAGGTCCATTTTAATTTCTAATCAGACAAACTAGTAAACTAATTTGACACCAGTAATTTACATACATAACGATCAAGCGATCTGTAAGTATATTTCTTAAATTCGATTTAAAATTAGACCAAGTTTAATTCAAGACATAGTAATACAACAAATTATTAAACACAAGGGTTAAATAAATTACATCATAATTTTTCCCATTTTTCTCCTTCCATAGTAAGAATGAAAGGAGTAATACAATTCAGTATTCACATCATATCCATCACAAATGCACTAGTTAATTTTTATGTTGTCTCATCGTTAGATTTTTTTTATGATTTTCATTGTTGCATAGGCACATCAAGCCGAGGAAGAAGGTCTCGGCGACACGGTGATCCTTCTCCAAGCTTACCTCGGCCTGGCATGGACCCTCGGCTGCGTGGCCTTCGGTCTTCTGGTTGTCCATCGCAGCGTCGAGTGCAGAATAGCGCGTCAGTACCTGACGCAGGCGGCAGTGTTTGTGTGCGGAGTTTGTATCCTTGCCCTCACCGCCGTCCAAGGAAATTATCACGGATACGTCATGTTCGCCTGGATTTATGGTACAGTATGCCAACTCGTGAGCGAACCCACCTTCTTCGATGAAGATGTTCCATTATAAGGAACCCAGCAATTAACATTACCGCGTGTACCAATGTGTTGTTTAGTTTATTACACCGCCGAAGTAGTATTGCCGTGCGATAATTGTATACTTTCAGTGTGATTCATTGTTCGGGGTAATATTGCGTATAATTAGGATTACAAATATTTTGCACGTACCAACAGGGTGAGTCGCTAAGTACTACTATCTAAAATAACTCGTTACTTAATGGTTGTATCAAAAAAAGTTTTAATGAATGATGTAACATTTTAGGGGATGCAATTTGATTTTTTTATGATTTTTTTTTGAGATGTCAAGGTGACCTCAAGTGTTGTCGAGGTAAATGTATCTTTCTTTTAATATCACGGTGTTGTTGATGGAAGGACGAATTCAGCGACCAATAGCATGATGGTACTAAAAAAAGATGCACTGACCTTGCAAAAACTCAAGGTCACCTTAATATGTAAAAAAAGAATAATTGAAAAGCTACATAATTCATTAAAATGTTTTCTGATACAACCAATAGGCAATGAGTTATTTTAGATAGTAGTTATTATTGACTCACCCCGTATATTGGACGAGATCACGTATATTTTTCTCGTAAAATAGTCGTATCGACGCTTTAATAGTTCATTAGTTAAGAATGTCGATACAGATTCCATGGTTTCTAAGTTATAATTTATATGTCCGTTTTATATACTAATTTTAATGGACGTTTTCAGGCATCTTCTGTGGTGGTTACCACTACAGTCTCAAAATGTACACGTACGAAAGGGTGAGGGCAAGGAACTTCGCGAGAACCTGGGGCTTCGTGCAGTGTTCTCAAGCCATACCAATAGCAATCGGGGTTCCGATTTCGGGTAGGTGCCACATATCTCGCAAATAACTAAAAATAGAAATATCTCATTGTTACAGTATGGTCAAATAACAAAATCAACAGCGAAATTTTTTTGAAATATAGTGTCAACGTTTTCTCAATAAATCATAACTGTTGAACTAACACGCTTTGTGGGTGCTTACAGTGGAGACATAAGAATATCTAATAAAAATTATTTCAATTAGAAAAAACTATTTTTGTAACCATATATTTTATTATTTGAAAAAAATAAGGATATAGTCCTACTTGCCCTCATTTTTTCCAAATTTTTAAATAGTGCTCCGCTACTATAACATTGCATTCCTTCAAACAATTACAAAATAAATGGTTAAAGTGTCAACAAAATCCAAAATGTTACTCGAAAAAGTGTCCGATTTGGCATGGAAAGAGCCACACATACGAAAGCTCCTGCAAACCAGGTATACAAGAAAGTATAACCGCCTCATTGGCGCAATCGTAATTTTCACAGGATACATGAACGTCGGCTGCGGCGGGAAGGCCGGTTACTACTTCAGCTCCACCTGCGTTCTGGTGGGCAGTTTCACCCTCTTCTTCATAGATCTCCATAGAAGGAATTTGTCGAGGCACAAGCACACCAGGTCTAACGGGACCAAGCATCTATGCATTTCGGACAGTTGCCCGCAACGACGGAGGCTATCGTTCAGCCAGGAACCGGAAAACGACGGTGGTCCTCACGTGACATCCGCCGGAGCTGCCGCCGCTGCGCTAGTCCTCGGTTCAGAAATTGCACCAAATCCAGGTAAACAGACTCATTAAAGTCTGAATTTTGTGGAAAACCATTCTGAATAAAATTAACCCTTTGCAAACCGACCAGTAGAAGGCAGATGCCGAATAATTTTTTACCCATACGCGATATTTGGAATCAATATTTTATCGAAAAAGAATGTAATACTATGCTTAGATAATATGAAATTTCACGCGATACAAGTTGTTCGGCTTAAATAACATCAAATTGGATACGATATCGTCCTGTTATACGAACACTTTGGTCTCCCTATTAGTTCCGATAATCGAGGTTGAACTATACATATAAATTCCCATTTTCTTGTCCAATACACAACTTCCAAATAGACTTTTATACAAAGCTGGAACCTAGAACAAGAACATATCGATCTCCCCCTCATTCATCCCCCAATGCAAACATTATTTACGATTACGTCTCGAGACGTTCGAGTGGAATGATCAAAACGAGACCTGTCCCAAAAAATTCTTGCTAATCAATTTCAATAACAGTGAAATCAAATCTAAATCGTAAAATATTCGATTAGGCGAGATGATCGACGCATTGGCACCAGAGAAACCCGAGCTCACCTGCATCTCAGAAGAAGGGATCGCCGACATGGATCTGCCGGACAACGTGCTCGAGGATCTCGATTATATCGGCGACTGCATCACTTCCTGCAACAAAGTCGAGAACTATCTGATGCTCTCGGAGTTCGAGAACAATCTGATCGCCGAGATGCCGATCATCACCGATCGTCGTGGCCGTCGATGGTCCCTGGCCCGTTCGAAGAGCGGCCAGACGAACTTCGAACGACCCCAGGGGCTTCAATCGTCCAACGAGGAAACGAACTCGAAGCCGAACTGGCAGGTCACGAATTTACCTCCTAACAACAGGGTGATCACGGTGATCGACGAAGCGAGCGCGTAACCACGGTCCGGATCGCCATGGATCGGATAGACCCGCGAAATGCTGTTGAAAGTCACCGAAAGCGTTTCCTCGATTGGATGCTTACTTCTATGAAGCCTGTTTACTCTTTGTACATACATACAAAAAGTGATCTTACGCTGGTCCAATTATGCGAAAGGAACTTATGCTTGCCGGGCTTCCCGCGTGATTTGGAGCCGACAGGTGAACCCACGGAACGATTTAGCGTACCGGATCGATTGATTGCAATAGTACAAAACGGGATGGATATTATCGTGCGGGATTGTTATATGGCATAGGGTAAACGCACCAATGAATGAACACTCAAGAGATTTTGGAATTATTAAAAAATATTCGGCACGTGAGAATTAGATTTTCTTTAGTTGCTCTAGTCGCTCTAGTTAATTTTTCTATCTCCATTAATCTGTAAACTGAGAAAACTGAGTGTAAAGTTTATGGAGTTTAATATTATCAAAGCAGGAAAATCGTGAAATAATCAACTATATTATAATGTCATCTACTGAATAGTTATATAACAAAATTGTATCTTATTATCAATATAAATGTTTAATTATCGTTGGTATTTGGAGATACAACAATTAAGAAAAAAAACATTTAAAGTTTGAGAGTTAGAATTTAGAAAAATATTTGATGTTATTTGGTTGAATTTTTTTATATTCTGGTGAATTTGTATTCTTTGGACCAATGAGACTTGCGTAGTTTGGTTAATTAAATTTGTTTGAAAAATGGAGTTAGAGAAGTTAAGGACTCGAGCGACGAATTCGAAAAATTTCAAAAATGTAATTAATTAAATTAAAACGCAAAAATACAGATTTCACCAGTGAATGAATAATAATATTAGGTAACTGAACTGTTTCAATATGAAACAAGGAATTGAAAAAAAAATCAATATTACTTCATTTGCTTACTTCAATAACATAATTTACTTGTTTTTCTGTATAATATTCATTCACTGGAGCTGTTCATTCACTAGGCAGGTCACCCTAAATTGAAAGGTTTAGTCGTTTTGTAGACGTCGAAGGGAAATGGATAGGATCGTCTGAGAGGCTGATATTTTTTTTCTTTTCTTTATTATCGTATCGCCTTTAACGATTCGTCTCGTTTGTTCCTGTTTTGATTTTTAAGGTATGTAGTACCGTTTAGGAGTCGTATTAGCGATAGTTTATTTGCGAACAGTGGGACGCGCTAATCTTGGACAGCGTTTGAACGCCCGAATCCAGTATCGGTTCGCTTAATTCGCGATGCAATTAAGGACAATAACGTCGGCTTTCGACGAGAGGGGAACCACGGATAAACGTTCCGTCCACAGCGAGATTAACCTCGACTCGCGTCGGCGTGTTTGTTTGAAAAGCTTCGTGTCGGTTCACTGCCACGCGTAGACGAAAGAGTTGAACGATCCTCATTACGTACATCGACATCCATTCGCGGGAATTTTTCACTTCCTATACAAATCTGAATGAAAACTTTGAATTTCAAAAACGTCTTTAGAAGAATAGAAAGAAGATAAGTTGTACGATGTGTCAGAAATAATCCTTTGTCAAAAGGTTGTCTTAGAAGAAAATTAAAAAGTTATGTTTCATTCAGATTCAATTCTATGTCTGGGAAAAGGAGGTTCCTAAACAATTAAATTCATACTTAAAATGTAAATGAAGTTTCAGGAAAGAAGCATCTTGTTTTTCTTTCAGGTTCAATTCTGTATCCCCGAGAAGAGAGTTCCTGAACGATTAATTTCATAATTAAAATGTAAACGAAGTTTCAGAAGAAAGTTATCGTATTTTTCTTTCAGGTTCAATTCTATGTCAGAATTTGTTACATTATTCACGAGAAGAAGGTTGGTAAACAATTAATTTAATACTTAAAATGTGAACACAAGTTCCAGAAGAAAGTTATCTTATTTTTCTCGCGAGTCCAATTAGTAAATGGTAAAGTCGTAAAAATTATGAACGATGACTGTGCATTCGTTTGTTCACTTTTTTATCATCAGATGCGATTACGACGAAGAATTTTTCGAAGTGATATCAATAAACGATCAGGATCGTTTGACTCCTGTCGGTGTAAAAAGTTCAGACCTATGTAGAGTGTTCTTCAGAAGATCGTCTCAAGGTAAAGGTCGATGCTTGCACGTAGGCGAAGCTAGCTGATGGTATTGAAACTAGTCCAATCGAAACTCGTACGCAACGATAAGTGGTATAGTATAACGATTACGAATATTCTAGCCAGATGCAAGAATTTATCTTTGTACCGTCGTTCGGGACATTTTCGCCAGATCCTCCGCGAGGGGCCGTTTCTCTTCCGGTGATCGATCGTGTCGCGAATGGTACGAAAAAAAAGCCCCCCAGAGATAACGACAACTATTTATTTATCGAACTATTTATATTAGATTGTCACATACGCATGTCATGTACACAGTCACACCTGCTTATACACGTGATAACGATCGTATATACATGCGTGTGTTAATATGATGTATATTATTAATTAGTATTGTCATTACGGTGCTCTGGAATTTAGTCGAGCGAGAAGAATTTTGCAATTGATTCGATTCGAGCGGAAATTTAAAACGAAGAATTTAGTATGCGGAAAATTGAATAGGTTTTTACGATCAGATGAATCGAATCGAAGAGAATCGAAAATATTTAGAAGAGAACGGAGCTCGAAGTGCAGTTTAAAAAATGAACGCAACTCCAACGGTATGATTAATTGATTAGGCACGCTTGACGAATGAAAATCGAATATATTGTAAGCTATGTTTATTATCGTTATCGAAGCGATAACACGTGACTACTAGTCGATCGCGTTGCGTAAACGATACACAACGGTCCAGAATCAAAATTCAGCAGCTCAAGTGAAAAATCTCACATCAACTTATTATTAACCATAGAAGATTTATTTTCCTTGCATTATTGTTCTTCTTAGACACTTTCGTATCATCGATCTCAGTGAAAAATAGACAAAAAAATTCTCTAAAAATTCAGACTTTCATAGAAGTGTTCAGAAAATTGTTACTAAATGATGACGTCATCGACACTAGAGGATCCTTAAAATTAATAAAAAGTTTCTAATTTATCTACTTCTATTAATATAAAAATTATATGTTCAAAATTCTTGATTGCTTCGGGTTGATTGTGAGCTGAGAAATTTCGATTCTGGACCACTGTGTGCGGTATAAGGAACAATAATTCACGAATTACCGTTTATTACATGGAACACAGTAAAACGAACGACACTGAACTGCCTATATTGTAATATTGTAACGTTGTTAATACAAAAAAATGTGATTTTGCCAACTACCTCATTCTACCTTCCCCCGACTTTTATTCACGGTAACGAGTTCACCGGCGAACACCTATAATTTAACAATTACACACACACACACACCCGCGAACAATGAGAATGAAAGTGCGATTTTCATGTCTTTTATAGCGGCAAGAGAAACGAATAAACAGATTGTTCGTCGATCATTTAAACGTGTGACGTGCAGTTTATACGAAATTCTTCAAATCCAATTATGTCTCCCTTCGTTAACCTACTTTATGGCTTTGCATTCCTCAGCAATTATCTCGTTCTAACCGGGATACATACCGCCGACAGGCGTACTTTTACCAGCAACGATTTTAATGTAGCATTAATTTCGGTTTACGACCTTTCCAGAGGCGTACAATTTCCGCGTTAGGTACTCGAAGAAATGTTTCTTTCGATCGTGAAAAAAACAATTGTGTCAGTTAACAAATATCTCGCGTCGAAAGCGTGCGATCCAGGTAACGCAGGTGAACGACAATTCTGATATAACAAACATACAATTGTAATTTCTTAGTTGTATGGACAGTTCATGTATTTTCTGATTAATTATTACACGAATTAATATTCCCATCGTGCCTGATAACAGTAAAAAATATGAAGGATGAACATTAAATAATTGTTTATGGTAGATTAGAATTACTTACATCAGACAGTTCTTTTTTCGAAATTATTTACCGACTATACTGACTCATATTTATTACTGGCGTGGGGTAGTAATTAATCAGAAAACACATAGTCAGTCGTCATCAGCACTGTTGAAATTATATTTAGAAAATACTGTGGGTAGATATACTTTTATCGTTCTTTTAAACCGAGAAACATTTTCACGCATAATCAAAATCTAATCAATTAATTCGAGCACCAGCTGCACACAGCAAATATTGGATTACGATATCAAGGGTCGTAATGTCAATAATACGACTTTAATTACGAATTCCCGGCTAGCCAGGCAGTCGAACGTTTATTAGACACGGTGGCATGCGAGAATTATCGAACGGGGCCGTCTGTGCACCGGCACTACTTCACCGATAAATTCTGAATCGCTTTAGTCACGAGCGAACCGTAACACCGATGTAAACCTTGTCCATCAATAACTCGGTAATTTACATACCAACAGCTCATATATCATCAACCCTGCACAACTAGTGATACCGACCATCGAAATTCGACAAGAAATCCTTAAATATCAATAACAATCGAAAAAGAATAGATAAACTCTGCGTCAGACATAATATTAAAACAATTCTTACCTCTCCAAGATAAACTATTTATCCAAGTACAGAGGTAATTAATGTACACTATATCCCTATCTGGACCCCAGAGCCAGAGTATATTAAATCCACTTTAAAAAAAAATAACATTTTATATGTTTCCTGTATCAAATATTTCAATCTTTCCGATGATAAAAATTGTTTCGTTCTAAATCGTCTAGTTTTTAATATAGGTGAATGACAGTGTAAAAATGATATTCAGTTATTTTTAAAACAGTGTTAAGTCCATCACATACGGGAATTAATGCAGAGTTCACCATTTCTACATACAGATACTTGTCTGAAATTCCTTCAATAATTCCAAGATAGCGATTGCTCCTCACACAATTCTTATCGAACGGTTCTAAAGTTACCAGGTTTACATACTTTTTTATGATCTCCTCTAAAGTTCGAAAATATATTCTGGTTTTGGGGTCCAGGTATGGACATTGACAATGAATTATAATGGATATTTCCAAAATGTTAGACTTTAAGAAGATGTAATAAACAAAAAAATCGATTTTTCGACCCCTCGAAATGATACACAAGTACGCCCTTAAAAACGATGGAGCGCAATCGTACGCGTTAATCAGCGATTGGCAGGTTGCGTTAGGGCAACAGATATGCTGGCAGTGCTAACGGACAGTTGCCTCAAGACTTCCCATGGCGAAGTGCCCCCCTGGCGTAGCCCCGGATACCTTGTTTCGCAAAAACGACATCGACGACCCGATCGGAACCACGAGGTAAGGTGTCAGGTTTCTTTGAAATAGCTAAAAGCGACGATCACTTACGATTCGCAGAACACCAGGTAAATCGACCTTTCACTGCTTCACAGAACCGTCTTCCAATATGTACATTCCAGGGGGGAGTAATCAATCAGAGAACGATCGCCATGTTAAATTAATCTCTGATTTCATTCGTGGAACACTGAGCGAGGAACTTGGGGTCGCAGTATTCTGTTACAGTGGAACGTTTATCGGATATTCCAATAAGTAATTCGCTGTTTTTTCAAAGGAGGCAATACTATACTGTTACCACCTTTAACCTACTGACGATCACTGCCAAACGTTGTTTCTTCGATTACTGTTACGGAGAATTCACTCCAAAAAAATAAATACAGTAAAACCTCGATTTTCAGAATTCAAAGATCTCCAGTTTCATTATCCGTACTTCTATGCACGGTAGAAACACGTTTCAAATGAATCTTTGTTAACACTATATACACGAGTGAATATTGTATAATAAACACTGATTTTTTATTTTAACCAGTTGATGTAACCAAGGTCTTACTGTAGATTGAACAAAACAGTAAATATTGGATGAACTTCTACGTCCTCGAGTCCCTAAATTTTTCTTTCACCATTTTCGTGCAGAATGGACTTAATAATCGATCGAATATTAATAAAAACGTCACGTTGCAAAATCATGCTGTACAAAAACCTCATTTCATATGCACCAGCTTAGTATTTCGATAAAGGGAACATTTATTTCAGCACTCCAAGTCGAGGATGCCGTACGGAAAGCTCCACGTTCTTCCGCTGAGCTTGTTCATCCTAATCCCAGTGACGTTTCTGATTACGTAAGTCTGTCCAGGCGAAGACGAACCTGATACGAACGCTTTGAATTGAATTGTTTTGATTCTCGTAAATATTTATGTTCACTTCCATGAACAACACAGAGGTACCTAGCAGCCATGATTGAACGAAGATTATCGATCGAAAAAATGGCCACCGTTTCACGATGAAAATGAAACCGTGATCGTAACATCGTGAACCGACGTTTATCGATCAGTTTACAATCGATCAAAATCGTGGTATCAGAAACAACGACAACGGAGCACTTTGTTTCCGATATCACGATGTAAATCATGATTAACTCGATTCATTATGTTCCGGCATGAAGGTATCATCGCGGAACATTGTTTTGTGAATAAATCCTATTTCAATTATAGAGGTGTCATTGAACAGTTCGCGACAAGAAAACTATACATATACAGTTCGAAATGTTCATCTGGTTGATGCATAAAAGACTTTTTTACCATGAAATTGATAAATTAGTGAATTTCTTAGATTCAACGGTAGATACAATAAGGCTTAATAATTTTCAGAAATAAATTCCGCTTAGGGAAATGTCGCCGAATTTGGACCATCGCCTAATCCAAACCACTACTGTAACTTACCATGTGTAAGCAATTTGTGTGTAAACAAACTTGGCAACGTTCCCCTATTTTTACAGAAGAAAAATGTTTTAAGGTTTCACAAAACTTCGTATGAAGCAATTTTATTTTCACAGCTTTAAATTATTTTTCTATAAAAAGTTACTTTCCTGGTTGTACAATTTTTCACGAATCAACCTGTATAACGTTCTACCTGCAATTCACTTCAATTTACAAATTAATCAAATTTCAGATACACCATATCCGTCCAGTGGGACCACGTGGTACCTGGATTCCCTTACATATCGGAAACGGGGACCTTATCGCCTGAATCGTGTATATTCGCCCAGTTTCTCAATATAGCCACACTTCTCCGTAAATTTTCCAATAAATATTCATTATAACGTACCGTTAAGCGTACCAATTCGTAATTCACGATTCCTTCAATAAAATGCTAATATAAATCGAATCTCGTATACCTTCCTACCGCTGTACCTTGATGAAAATACCGTGGAACAGATTAATGAACAATAACGAATATTATTAACACTAGAACTACCGACGATAAACGCATATTTGCTTCGATCGGTGGATAAACGTGAAAAACTTTTGATAATTTAGAAATTTAGAAATTTACTAATGATAGTGAATTATTGATTGATACACTTGATGTTTCTCGATTCAATTGAACCACGAAGAATTGAAATATGTATTGTACGTTTCAGTTGCATGTTGCGTGTACATCAGACACCGAGAAGTTTCGCAGTGGCAATTGGAACGGGGCAGCGAACTGGTGAACAAGAGGCTCGTTGTTGTGACGGCCTGGTGCGGGGCTTTAGCATGCTTCGGCCTAGACATTCTGGCTAATTTTCAAGAGGCTCGCGTATTCGCCGCCCACATGATCGGAGCTATGACCTGCTTCACAGCTGGAACTGTTTACTTTTGCCTTCAGGTAAAACGGTATACCCGGACGGGACACATAATAAATATGCAAGTAGTGACTGTGCCAGATGGATGAATAAATATTTAAATTGGTACTTTAGTGAAAACGTGAATGAATATACAAATGAGGCACCTAAATGGGTATATTATTACGTAACACCGTGGTTACATAAATGGATGATTAAATAAGCGTATAAACAAATACCTTAATCGTAGATTAAAATAGTATTCATTAGGTCATCCCATAAATAATCTGATTTTTTCGGTATGTAGATATATGCTAATGAGAATAAACATCTTTTTGTCAGTAATTAATGACTAATATATTTTCAACTTCTACGCGAATTCTTCAATAATCACTGATGAATTTTGTTCAACACTAACCCTTCAAATGTCTATACGTAGTTATACAAGGTCTTCCGACACGAGAGTACTCATGAAAACCTGCCTGAAATTTCCTGAACCTCTTTAACACTGATTTAACTCTAACAATCTCATCATACACCTGCAATGTGCACCTGATACATGAACACACATCGACATAAAACTATTATTATGTAATCAACATTCGATATATTTCAGACGTATCTAAGTCATAAAATGGTACCAGCGGTGAACGGTCGAATCGTGGTCTACGTGCGAGCTGGTCTATCGGCGCTGACATTGATTTTGACGGTTGCCACCATCGTCGCCGGCTACATCTCCATGTTGGAGTTTCAAGGTAACGATTCACCCGTGCCCCGAACGCGGAAACGTCTCAAGAGACATCGATTCCGTACCTTGCAGGTAACGATTACAAGAAATGGTTGCCAACAGATGGTGGCTGGGGTTGGCACGTGGCCAGCGCTATATCCGAATGGGTTCTGGCGATCGTCTATTGCGCTTTCCTCCTAACATTTGTACCAGAGTTTCGGTTAATTAATTTCGAGGATCCTGTAGTCACGGTACTTCTTTCTCTAAATTTATTTTTAGTCATTTATTGTCTGAAATACATTATTAGAGTAATAAAATGTTCCGATAAAAGAATCTTCAGTTAACTAAGCACTTCGATAATGGGTGTTTCGACAATCGAGGTGTTACTGTATATGAATCTATAAGGTATAATTGCCATCTTAATTTATCGAGGAATTTTCGTTAAAATTACAAAATTTAAATTTGCTTTTCACTAGCAGTGGGATATAGATTAATTTTAGAACGTTCTACTAAATATTAACATTAATGAAAGATTGATATCTACGTATTCAATTAATATCCTCGCTACTTGAGAATTTATTTACATCTCGGTAATACAAAATTAATTACGCATGATCGTACAAATGTTTTCAGCTAATGTATCTAGACAAGGATCCAGACATCAAGATGTTGCACAAATTGGAGCCACAAACACCAGAATGTTAAAACTCCGACAATAGGTACACTCACGAGTTATGTTTTCCTCGATCTATTACTTTATAAATGATTTTAACATAATAAGTGTACGATCTAATTAATATCATCGGTCCCTTTAATTCACCCTCATCTGTTTATCAATTTACATTTCATTTTCGTCTACCCAAAGACACGAAATATACTGTCAAGCATTTAGAAAGAAAGCTTTCCATTGAATCATATAAGATATAATTTTTATTTATGCTGCAAGAAATTTTTCTGAAAATTCATACGTTTACAAAGGCAGTAAGTTACAGAAAATTTTGAAGTAGATACAAAATTTTTTATTTTCTTCTCTGCCATACAGTTGCATATTATATGAACGCATAAAATTCGCAGTCCATCGATTATCGTTTATCGCTCCAAACGGACTCCAATCTCGAACAACGCCTTCATTGCCAACAGATGCCCGCGTTCTTCCCTTCTTGCGGTCGATAAAGAACGTCCTTGATAAAACGTGATCGGCTCGCAGCGCGATAGTCGCCCGTTTCCGCAAAAATACGTCGTGTGAAACAGCCTTCAGGCCCGTAATCAAAACGATACTGTCACCTGACAACAACCGGAACTTGCTTCATACTGGGTTGGCCAAAAAGGAATATCAGATTTCTGCAGGTGAAGAAGCTTTTCTAATTTCAATACAAAATACTTTGACCAATAAACTATGCATATATTCTGAAAGCTGATATTTCAACACGCCGTTTAAAAAAGGAATCAAGGAATCGTAAGATTGGGTTACATTTTCATGAACTGACGTTATTGTGAAAGTGAATGACGAGAAAGTGTACTTTCGGGCAATTATATTTTAAAATTATAAAAATATAAGAAAAAAATCTTGTTCAGCATTTTTGGGGGTTTTTGAGTTTTCACAACTAGGATTCTGAACCAAAAAATCGCAAAAAATTCTCAAATACGTTGCCCCGGTGAGCACTACTTACCAAAATTTTTAAAGAATTTTTGCATACCATTCAATAAAGAAAATAGTGGGAAAACCGACAATTCGAATTTTCCCTGTTAGAACCCCTTTGGTGGAGATAGAGGGTTGAACCTTGCAACAGGTTATTTTTTTTTGTTAAGCTGTCGAATGATGTATCATAGATCCAAACCGGTCTAGGGTCACTTTTGACCCCTTATCCTGCTATACCCTTTCACCCAATCGTAATAATTTCTTCTTTTAAACGACGCGTGGAAGTGTCAAGCTTCCCAAATCCGTACATATTTCATTACATATGAGCAGGACTCTGCACAGAAAAACAAAGCAGCAAGTACTACAAAAATCCAACATTACCTTTTTCGCCAACCCATTACATTCATACTCAATACACTTCGTGCCTGTGCCACGATTTATCATCTCTCGATCAAGCAATCAAAAGTCCTTCAACGAATCGAAGGATCGCCTCGAACTCCTGCCGCCCGCGAGTCAAACGATAATACGTCGATCGAGGATCCTGACGTTGCCTATGGGCGGTCCGTCACTCGAATGGCTTCTAACCAAATTCAAAAGTCACGGGTACCCCCAGCCGTGCTGAAGCACCGTGTGAACCGTGCATAAAAATGATCCGAATCGTTTTTATCGCGAAACGAAGCCTGTTGTGCGGTCACGTTCGGGAAACGTGTTCAAGAAGCCGTGTTCCCCCGATTTCCGCGAAGTATTCCCCGCCGGACGAGTTCACCGCGGTGGGAAGTTAAGCGAAACGACTGATCCATAAAAGCTGCACACGCGAGACCACGACTTCTTTCAACGGTTGTAAACGAGGTAAGTACGTGCTGATAATTATCCGATCGTGTCGGTGTCGATAATCACCACCACGCGCATACATACGTATCAGTTCGCAGGAAATAGTATCCGGATAACGTTTCTTGGAGAACGTCGGTGCAGTAACAACCATCCGTCGTCAGTCGCGTGGCGCAGCTGCCGAGAGCGCCGTACCTCGACTGCCGCGGCATCGATCGCCCACACAGTCAGCCATAACCTCTGCAACTTCTACTGGGCAGTTCGCCCTAGCAACCGAAGCCATAAAATCACGGGAAAATACTCGTGAACGATACCCTAAACAGTATCATCCGACATTAAACACCATTTGCCGAAAATCGTCGTCGAAAGTGTGCAGTGAATTGAAGGTGATAGGGGTCCTCCAGGAAGACCCACAACTGTGTGCAACCCCTTACGAAAGGGTCTTCGGTTTCAGTGAAACGTGGCAGACAGAAGGTACACGTTGATCTGACAACCAGACTACGAAGTGCAAAAAGGTATCCCAGAAAGTGTTCCTGTTTGTATCAGTTCACACAGTTTCACTGTTTTCGTTCGGTCTGTTTGTCTACGTACAGCTGTCAGCTAAGTGTCCAGACGAGGGAAGGGAACGTCCCTTTTTTGTTCGTAGCCAACGCCCGCGTGGAAATACTCGCATGCGTCACACGCAGTACGTCGTGCACGCGATCCGAGACGGGTGTCTTCGTTTACTCGTTGTTCTGGAACACGGTGTTCCAGGAATTGGTTTATGGCATCGATGAGGCGAGTGAAGATTTTTAAAGACTTTTTCCTGCACATTTGGTCGCTAAATGTGCACGGTACGAAATTGTTTTATAATACCAGCAGTTTTAGTCACCTTCGCGGTAAATGTGTTACCGCTCCATGTAATAAACCAGGGCTTTCCGAAGGTTAACGGGACGCTGTTGTTGTTCGTCCCTCGGCTCGCAGGGAGCCTCGCGTACGGTACCTGGAAGAAAGTCCCCAACGTTGCGAAACTGTCGTCCACCCTGGCGGGCATTTACACTTCCACCCCCACGAAGAAATGCGCTGAGGGTGCACTGTGAGAGTGGGGGGCAAGGCGCTTCACCGAGGAGGCCTTTGGTCTTATGAATTTTTACGAGATTCAATCAGTACTCCAAGGGAGAAACATCGATCTCGTTTGAACAGTCAGTGTGACCGATAGAAGCAAGCTGGTGCTTGTGTGTGTACAAGTCAGTCTTGGTTTCTTGAGCAGGGACAGCCCCTGAATACTCACGCGTCCAAAGTTGTTTATATTTAAATACCGTCCACTAGTTTTTTGTTGAAACAAGTTTTCTCATTTACTGTCCGAGTTTGTGTAACCATTTGGTACATCCTACATTCGGTGCATCTTCAACATTCGGAATCATTGCGGGCGCGAACAGTCGTCGTTGAGGATTTATACCCAGCGACCGTGTTTGGACGGTTGGCGCGACTCACCTGGGACGCGTGTGATTATTTCTGGCGCTCCTCTAGCGGCTCCGATCGCGCACGTGTGAAAATACTTAGTGGAGATTTCATAGATTCTTCTTACGGGGACACTGGACGAACTACCGTTGATGGTTTCGTAAGTTAGTGGTATACAAATTATTTCGTGAGAAATTTACAAGGGGAACATCCTTTAGGCGAGGACCTACATAGGTGAGGTTCGATGAGTTCTTTGAGGACCCATCGATTGCGTGGAAGCTGAAGTTAATTAGATTATGTTGATTCAGTTATGGACTGTTCCAAATTCCGGGTGAATTATTGATATTGAAATTTTTTTGATTGTCTAGAAGTGGATGTTGAATTCAGTTCCAGTGAATCTATGGAATGTCATGCGTGCACGTGGAAAGACAATCCGTGGTTTCAGTGTTCCTGTTTTATTCGAGTGTGTGGAAGACAATGAAAAGAGAAACGTAGTTTAACACAGAGAATTTAGTCGGTCAGTCGGTGGGAATATTTCTCTGAGAGTGGTTTAATCTCTTATGTGGACAAATCAGACTAAACTAGGACAGTGATAACCTGGAAACCTTCGTAATCTCAAATTTCTCCAAAATCGCTAAAAACTCAGTCATTATTGACATTACAATATTTTCCAAGTCGAAGTACACATTTTAAACACTCTATTTGGTTGTCCAATAAGTTCGTGCGGATTTCATTTTTTCAAGTAGACGACGGTATTTGGATCCAGATAGATCGTTACTCATCTGTCTTCAGGTGTGTTTTGATACGGATTTCTTCCAAGCACATTAAACGCATAAAATCCTAATATAAACAGCATGTTTCGATTACTTTTCCTAAACTGTAGTAATATCTGAAATTTCTAAAATTCTAGGTCCAAATGTATCCAAACACCGTCGTCTAAAAATTCAAAAATTTCGCACCTCCTCAGCTTGCTTGGAAAAAAAACCGCCATTTTGTGCACAGCAAACTTTTTCGCATAATTTTACCCGTTTATAACATACCTGGAGTATATTGTTAGCCGATCAAAATAGAACGAGCACGTTTCTCGCTGGCTCGCCACGTGACCGTTTCTGTTTTCCGATCAAAGGTGTCTCTCGCGGAGGACCTTGATGGCAGTCGAGTCGCAGCGCGGTCGTCGGTGGATCCGTTGCCTCGGCTGATTCCCCCCGGGGAAAACCAGGCGAAAGAAAATAAAAGGTTTTTGCCGGACGCGCGTGGAAGGGACTCGAGCATGAGTGGTCGTGGCGGATGGTGGACGCGTGCCTCGTCGCGTGTGTCTTCTCGATAGCAGCGTCGGGCCCGGACGTCGACGTCTGACGTCACTGGTTCCGGCGGGAAAGCCAGCGACAGCCAGTTGACCGCGCACCGGCATCATGGACAAGCAAGACTATCTGGTCAATCTCCATTACCTGCCGATATTCGTGTTTATCGCGTTGCCGAGCGTCTTTATTTTGACGTAAGTAAATTGTCTTTAACCATGCTGTTCTCCTCTAGTGAAAATTATGCTTCAAAATTATTTGAATATTGATATTTCTGCAATTCCTTATCTTGTATGTTTCAAAATGTTCATTTAGTTAATATTGATCATTCACTGGTGAAATCTGTATTTTTTATTTAATCGAGTTATATTTTTCGAATTTGTTAAATTGAACTTATACATTGTACAAAGGTGTAGATATTACGTAATCTAATTTTCATATGCGAAATATTTATTAATATTATTATCATTTAAAATTCGACTGTAATTTGTGTTGATGCT